AATAAATGATACAAAAATGTTAAATTTAATTAGATGTAAGATTATAACGAATTCTAAGTTTGTTAATCCAATTTCATTTTCACATTTTTATGAAATTTGTATTTCAAGCAACGTGTAATTGTATTTATCATAATAAAGTATTCAAAAAAATAAAATAAAATACTAAAGTACTTAAATGTTAAAGGTTATAATTATTTAATTTACTGTATGATATAAGTATTTATTTCTCAGATTATTTTGTCAGATTATTATAAATGGAGAACATTGATTATATTTTGTAAATAACATTGTATGCAATTTTGATGCTAAATAAATAAATGTAGTTTTTAGCTTTTTAATTAATTAATTCAATTTTATTATTATTATTACTGTAAATTATTAAATCTGTATACAGTAGTAACAAAAATGTCTAATGAGACGGGTGAGAATTTGTGCCTTATTTGTGGGGATGTAGCTAACGGTGAGTCATTTAAATATGGATAGTATTAAAAGTCAGCTAAAATTACTATTATATATATTAGTATCAATGTATATACTATCAATATATTATTACAAACTATGAACTTAATTTAAAACAGGCTATCATTTTGGAGCAATAAGTTGTGAATCGTGTAAATCATTTTTCCGAAGAAATGCATTGAAAAATACCGTAAATATTAAGTCAGTTAATATACACTGAATTAGATTTTGAGCATTTACATTTAGGATTCATTCAATTGCTATTTGGGAGGTATTTGTTCAATAAATGTCGAGAATAGAAAGTGGTGTAAAAAGTGTCGTTTGGATAAATGTTTAGCTGCCGGAATGAAAACGGTATGCGAGATTTTATTCACAAATTTTCATTAAGTTCTAATACACAGTCATATTATATAATAATTAATTTTTTACATTTAACAGAAACTAATATTTACTGACAAACAAAGAGAAGTCCGGAAACGGATTGTCGAGCAAAACCGAGAGAACAAACGAAAGCTTATGGACCAGAGTAGAGACGACTCGGTGCTCAACTCGACTACCAGTCCACCACCAGATGTATTGAATATGGAGATAAATATTTCACTGGAATTGTCAGACAGTAATAGTCTGCTTATTAATAGTAATGAATTGATTTCAAATGAAATTATACCAATCGTGAGGCCAATCACCGATCATAGGATTCAGTTCAATGAATTGGAAAGTAATAGATTGAGTGAACTATTGGGTGCCCTAAAGGTGTATCACATTCCCGTTACCATCACTGACCACATTGTTATTGATAAGTTGGAAAACACATTTCCAATCTTAACTCAGAGAAATGATAATAGAATAAAAACCTTGGTCAATGTGTCCAAATGTTTGCATGGATTCAATAGCCTCTGCGAAAGCGATCAAATAATTTTGATTAAATATTCTGCACTCGAGATCGAAGTCTTGCGAATGGTTTCATGTTTTAATTTTGACCACAAATATTGGATTGTAATTAATGTAGGTTGCGATTTATGATATACAGTATATTGTTAATTTTAAAATAACAACTACTTATTTTTATACAGAATGAAAAATCGTATCAAATAAACCTAAAGCTGTTTAAAGAGTTTTCAATTGTTTCAAAGTGCAAATCCATTGATCAGTATTTATACCATAAGAAGTTTTTGCAGAATATGGGACTCGATTACGATTCTGACACCATTATCATTGAATTGGTATATTTGACATTATTTTAAAATAATTATTAATTTAAACTTTTTACAGTTAACAGCTATTGTACTCTTTAACCCAAACCGACCAAATCTAATACATAAACAAATGATTAAGTGAGTGATTAAATGCAATAAACTATTCATTTGATTTTAACTATTAAAGTTTGTTATAATTATAGATATCAACAGAATATATACATACATTTACTTAAACGTTTTTTGCAAATCAAAATGAATGCCAATTTGTTGTCAATGGAAAGACTTATACGACTATTAAATAATGTGAACATTTTGAATATTCTCATTGATGATTTTATCCAGAATATTCTGAATCTAGAAAGTTTCAGTTCAGTACCACTTTTGAAGGAAATATGTGACAGAAATTAATACAATTTAAAGTTAATAAAATACCTTTATTAAAAATTGTTTCGCTATTTAAATATCATGCTTAATTGGTAAAGTTTGATATTTTTAATTTTAGTAAATATTTATAGTTATTCAAAATTATTTATACCCAAATGGTGTGGAGTATAAATCATAGATAGCACACATATTCTTACTACTGATTCTTATCACAAACAATTAAGTATTTTAATAGTAAACACTACATTACTGTTGCACATGGTGACATAAGTTTCACAGTATTTTATAAATAAACTAAACCATTATAAAATTAATACAATTTAATTTAATAAATCTAAAAATCAGAAATGTCGAAAAGCACCAGTATGATTTGTCGTATTTGTAGCGAAAAAGCTACTGGTAAGTCAATCATTTAATTTGTTTAGTTTATATTTTTGGCTAGTACTGTGTTATACAGTCTTATTACGTTTTATTGGTAAATAGTGGACACTTTTGATTCAAACATTGATATTTTATTTATTAATTAAAATATTTATTCAATATATAGGCTATCATTTCAATGTAATGACGTGCGAGTCGTGTAAAGCATTCTTCCGGAGAAATGCACTCAAAAATAAGGTATGAATCAAATGTAAAATAATGAATATTATAAATGATCATATTGTTAAATATCCAGGATCATTTCAAGTGTAAGTCAAGCGGTAGTTGTAAAATAGATGTTAAAACCCGAAGTATTTGCAAACGGTGTCGTTTGGATAAATGTTTTCAAGTGGGAATGAAAACTGTAAGTAGTTTAGTGTACCGGTATATTGTTAACAGTAAACCAAGTAAATTGTGACTAATTTTTTTGTACCATGCTTAGAATTTATTGTACTCTGATAAGCAAAAACAATTNGATACTGATCAATTTAATAGCTTTCAAAATCATAATTCAAGTGATAATTGCAGCACAAACAGTATTATTGTTAATGATAATAGCGTGGAATTAAGAAATAATTATAACACCGAGGTAATGGATAATCCGGGTCTTTCAATCATACCAATTGTGAGGCCGATCACTGATTATAGCAATCAATTCAATGAATTAGAGGGCAATCGGTTGAGTGAACTGATGGACGCCCTGAAGATTATGCAAATCCCGACCACAACATGCGATCCTATTGTGGTCAATAGTCACCAGGATGCATTGAATTTAGTGATGGCACATAATGATCATAAAATAGAAAAGACTATTAAAATGGCTAAATGTATGAATGGGTTTAATAGACTGGGTGAAAGTGATCAAATGATCTTGATCACACACTCAGTAATGCAAATTGAAATCTTAAGAATGATTTTATGCTTTAATTTTGCTGACAACTCGTGGACTTATATTAATGTAAGCTAGCACAGTATATTAAAGTTTAAAATTACTTTTGAAACTTTTAATTTTCTTACAGAATAATACTTCATATGTAATTAAACTGGATCTGTTTAGAAAGTATCCCGATTCTGAAACTAGAAATTTAAAGTCATATGGTAATCACATTAAATTCTTACAAAATATGGGACTGGACTGGGAGTCGGATCCACTTATCATTGATTTGGTTAATTAAACTTTTATTAATTTGGTTTATTTACTAATTTATTTGTAACGCCTTTTCATAATTACAGCTAACAGCTATTGTCTTATTTAACCCGGATAGACCACATTTATCCAATAGACCAGTGATTAAGTGAGTAATTATTTTGAAAATTTATTGTTTGTATTTAAATTTAAACAATTTAAATTTTATTTACTTCATAATAGGTATTACCGATGCATTTATAAATATCTATTGCAACGCTATATAAAAATGAAATGTCAATCGGAATTACTATCGAAACCTAAACTTTTAAGATTAATAAACAATTTGGAGTATTTGAATGTAATTGGTCACAGAATATTAAAGTATGCTAAATGTTATGTAGACATCAATTCATTGCCACTATTTAAGGAATTATGCGACCTGTATGAACAGCAAGGTTAATTTGAGTTTAACTTTATTAACAAAATTCTGTGCAACAGAATAATTTATATTTTGCGCTCATTTTTAAGGAAATGTGTTTGAACATTATTTCATAATATTAATTGTATAACTTCTAATTATAGTTTATATTGTCATCCAATAATATTCATGTTTGTTAATAATAAATATCACCGCAACAACTCTATTAATTTATAATAGCTTCAAATTTAAGTCTTAAATTACTAGATATCCAAGGTTACACTGTAGATATGGCGGATAGATTCAACAAATAACATTATACTGTACTTATATAATACTGTATACCACAATTTACTATTATCAGTGATTATAAATCAGTAAATACATAAGTTATTAAATCAAAATGGATTGATTATTTGTTTTCGTGTATTCATGGGAAATTTAAAAATACATTTTATTAGTATTTGTGAGAATAATGTTAAATAAATAAAGTATGTACGAGATATTATTTGTTTATTTATCGTATAGTAAATCAAAATTGCCTTCACTTTCACGCAATTGCATCATTCAAATGTGAACTTTTAAGTGAACAAATACTTGAAACATATTCATTAAAGTGATTCATATTATTATTTGGGACAATGTCTAATAAAAACAAAGTATGCGTTATATGTGGTGATCAATCCAAAGGTATGTCCAGTTAATACTATTTAATGAATACTTAGTTGATTGAACAAACTTTTATTTTGTGATGAATAGGCTATCATTTTAGTGTGATTTCTTGTGAATCGTGTAAATCATTTTTCCGGAGGAATGCCGAGAAAGGAGAGGTATATGTAGTTCATAAATTGTATATTTATTTAAAACTTTGAGTACATTTATGAATATATTAATTTATATATTGAAATCTAGAATCACTACAAGTGTTATTTGGGTAATAATTGCAAACTAGATGTTAAGGGCAGAAATAGTTGCAAGAAATGTCGTTTAGATAAGTGTTTCGCAGTCGGTATGAAAACTGTGAGTCAAATATTTGCAGAAAGTTTTATTTAAATTAAATCCATTTATTTTGGCATTCATTTCAGGACTCATTTCAAACCGATGAACAAAACCGATTGAGAAAATCTATTATTGAAAACAATAGGAAACGTAAACTTAGTAACACATCATCCATAACAACAAACAGTAGTGGGGACGGGGTTTACTCGGACACCAGTTCCCCTTTAAGATCCCCTCCACTATCCCCTCTACAACTCGATTGTGTGGACACAATCTGTATTGACGACAGTTTTACAGATATTTCCACAGATAATCACTTTGAAGATATCATTACCTGTAATCCAATTGTGAATAATTTAGAGTTGCAGTCAATTGTGCCGATCATGAGACCCATCACCGACTATAACAATCAATTCAATGAATTAGAGGGCAATCGGTTGAGTGAATTACTTGAGGCCACAAAACTTATTAGTCTACCGACGCTCAGCGCCACCGCTAACGCTAACTACATATTTATCAACGACCCATTAGAAGCCATGAATGTGATGATAGCCAAAAATGACCCTCACATTAGATGTATAATCAATATGTGTAAAAGTCTGAACGGTTTTAACA